GTTAACAACATACAACAAAGTGTTGATATATACCCAAATAAAGCCTACATATATATGGCTGGGTTATGCGAAGTAAAGACATATTAACCAAAGAGAAATTTTCCAGAAAGATGTGCTTCGTAATATAACGGCCACTCCCTGGTATGTACGCAATAATTACATTTATAGGGATTTGTATGTCACCAAAGTATGTGAAGACATAAGGAACTATGCCATGAAACATAGTGCGCTTTTGGGGCATGTGAATATAGAGGCCTTCCAACTTTTATTAAGTTGAAAATGAACGAGATTTAGTCTTAAGTGCTAAAACAACAGTTCTGTTCCTTTCTTCACGAGTAATAGACAGATGAACACTTAGTGCTAAAAAAACATGTGTTCCTAAAGGAAAATTTTTTCAATTTTGAGCAATTTCTAAAAAATTTGTTTGCAATTTACGATGTGATATATAACCAAAAAGCTTTGACTTAAAGTCTCAATGGTATGTACATATATCTACGCTCATACTGAATTAGAATTAGAAATATTAAAGGAAGGAGCATCTTTATTTCTGTGATCGGCATCCGTCCACAATACACCTCCCTCCGCTAAATCCATTGAAGTCCCTTGGAAAGGTTTGGCAGATAACGCACACACTCCTCCGAGAATTCTTCCAATCTGTCGAACCGATATCTTCGAGCACGTGACGTACATACTTCACCCCAATGTCGTAGCATCTGCGGCATATATGTTATGAGGAAATTGCAAACCATTTAACTATCTTTCCCAATAAAAAATGCCCCGTCAAAATGCCAACTCTCTTTTGCAGAGAATGCCTTTGCAGCCCGCCCGCCGTACCAAAACAAGTCACCCCTTTTTCTAGTTTCCTGATCTAAAGTCTGCCTCAATTCCCCCAAGGGCAAATTACCAACCAGTCCCTTGCCACAGTGTCACCGGCCACCCCTCATCTGGTTAGTTCGTGGTTACATTCGTTTCTTTCAATATTGCTGTGCCCGGAACCCAGCGTAGGGTCACCCTACACCAGATTTTACTGTACAGGAACTCAGTACCTCAAGAGCCGCTCTGCTATCCACGCAAAATATGAAGGCCCACTGTGATAAATCATCCGCCACCTCGGCGACCCTAGTTTGTCCGAGTCCGGGGGATACCGTAACTTCAATAATGCGCTTATAACGTAAACTTTAGAAAGTGTCACATTTCAAAAAGTTTAGTAAAAGCTCTTGACAAAGTACCCTTTTCCTAAATGCGTTTTATACGTAGTGGATACGTAAAATAAAAGTAAATCGAGTATCGAAAAAATCCAGCACACTGTTTTTATACATATCATATAAACGTTGCCAGAAATAACCAATTAAATAAACTTGTACATATTATCTTCAGCAATAAATTGCTAGTTATCAAGTTTTTTTCTTAAATGCAGCATAAAAGTGCTATGTTTTTAATGATGTGGTAACGTTTGTTAAAATTTAAAAAACGTCAAAGTATATATTAATATTGTAAAAATGATGTTTTTTTACAATGTAAAGGTATTGAAAGCTCTGAGACGGTAGTACAATCGTATTAATACCGTTAATGTCTTTATATCTAACAAGTCACAATACTCAATTTTTTTTACAATATATTACGAATTTTTGGCTTCGTTGCTGGTTTTTTCTTTAAATGCCACTGATCGTGTCATATTTTTTATTATTTTTTTCTTTTTTTTTAAGTAAAAGAGAGTTTAATATCTTAAAAAATCTCAGGATATTATACGCATTTTTAAAAAGCCTCCAATTTAAATTCTATTGCACGAAAGAAAGACAGGAGGAAAGAAAAAAATTTTCAAATTCATATTTCAGTATGGTTTCAAATGTTAATGAGGATGTATGATTTTTTATGCACATTTTGTATTTCCCAATAAGGTAAGTTGAGTAGTGTCGGCTAATAAAAATGTTATTAAAAGTAATATAGGTTGACACATTTCAACAATTTGAATTATCTCATTTCGGTTATTTATACGTTACTTATAAAATTGTTTCAAATAATTTCAGTTAGTTTTTAAGTTATTAAAAATAAATATGTATGTACCTACTTTCAATAATTTTTTTTTTAAATAATTATTTTAAAACTATTTCAAAGATGTTATATTGAGCGCTTCAAAAATTTTGCTGTGCTCTTTTTTCATATTTTATTAGCAGGTAAACAAGAGCAATCTATTTATAAAATGTCCCTGCATGTGTATGTATGACCTATCTTAATTCTAAACGGAAAGAATATTACGTAAAGAACAAAAATTTTAAAATACCTGTTATTTTACAGTCGGAATTTTTGAGTCATTTGATAAAATACCATTTATTTCAAAAATAAAAAAATATTCAAATCCGGTCATAAAAATATATGATTGTTTTTTCCAAACATTTTAAATATTTTTTTTTCTTAGGTATTTGATATAAATGATAGTAAGTTTTTAATATTTTTTCAAATAAAAATAGAGGTAAAATTTTGAAGTTTATATAAAATTTGTATTTAACAAATAATATTTGATTATATTTTAGATATTATTTTTTAATTCCCTCTTCAAATTTTTTCTTTACTATGTATTTATGTCAATATTTAAGAATTATCTTTCATTAATTATATTTTCAACTTGACACCACAGTTACTCCCCATATCTTGAGTTAACTTACCCTATGAGAAAAAAAAGCTGTTCACTTAAAAATAATGAAACGCTTTCAGTAACATATGAAACGTTGAAGGCGAAGGATGTGCTTGTTGTTTTTCCGCTTTTTTTTTAAATTTTAAAATAATTATCAATGAAAATATTGATATATTTTTTTTAATTTTTCAAATATATTTTCTAAATTTTACCTGCTTTATAATAAGTGTGAATTTATTTTAATATTTCTTCTCAAAAAATAGCCACTTTGATTTAAAAAAACCCATATCAAATAATGTCGTGCTTTCAAGTTTCTCTCTGAGCATCGGGACTTGTTAGATATAAAGACATTAATAACGTACTTACACTTTTTACAAAGCATTATTGAAGTCACGGATTATCTCAGTCCCATTTCCATGAGTATTGATAGAGATTCCCACTCTTAATCCTTCTTTCCGGAATCAATATTTCGTACCGGAACTGATCTCTGGTTGGCGTTGTCTTGAATGAAACTTCTCGAGCTATTTGAGCACCTCGAGTATCCTTTTCTATCGAAGCTAAGCCTTTCGTTTTTTTGGAGAAACTGGGCGCGGTGCTATCACCCGCCTGCCTCTCTTTTTCTGGAACTCGCCACTCTTAATCTCCATTTTGCCATTGGTTTGCAGTGTTCCAGTAAAACTCTTCTGCTCCTTAACTTTTGTAGGCGCAGCTGAACCCCAAAGAACCAAAGCACCGTCTGCCTGACGCTTCGGCTCGGCCCTTGGCTGTCTGGTGACCCCTTGGATTTGCCTCGAGTTGATGATCGCCTTCGTTTTTACGATCTGCTCTTTTTCCTAGGTTCCCAAGTAAGCTCCTGGGTCCTTTAGCGGCAGTCGTTGAAGCCTTGTCCTTGCGTTGCGACGCTCGTTCCTCGTATGTCTGGACTAATTCCCGAATTCCTTACTTGTAAATGGATTGACTTTGTCGAAGCCAGTTCCGTCAACAGTTTGAAGGCTATTCTTTCCATTCCCATCAAAGAACTGTTTCTGTCCTTCTAATGATCACCTTCAGATTTACAAGTAGAGCATGACTTCCCCTTCTGACCTCTCGTGATTTGGGTTCCAAGCTAATATCGAAATCCACCTCACACAAAATCATTGTGGACTATGATGATAGTGACAAAACTCGCATCTGTTCGTCCGTGTTCCAAATGGTAGCCGCTATCCTTTCCCCAAGGCCCGTTTTCACCTCGAAGCTCGGTTCCACTGGCGACTTAGCCCCTCCTGGGACTGAGTTCTTAACGACGAACGTGATGACAGACGACACTTGTATTGATATCCTAATACGCAATTCTTTCATCCTGGACGACGTTTCCAATTAAACGTGAGGAAACATGTGTTTTGTTTTTTTTCAAACTAATATTACTTCCGATGACATAATTTTACCAGAAGCGAATTTTTTTTTTATAAAAATAAGCTTGTACTTAATAAAATACATACGATATTTAAATTACTTCTTCTTGCATATATTTTCTGTTTTCCTTGAAAAAAAATGAAATAAAAAGAAAGTGGATTGTAGAATGAAATGTAAAGAAGTTTTCATTTCAAATATTTTATCAAACCGGACTATGTACATATGTATGTATGTTCATAACATTTTGATTCAAAAAGAAATTATTTGGTAAAATTTATGTAACGTCAGATGCTTTACCTAATTTGTATGTAATATTTTTTTTAATGTGAATTGTTTTGTTTCCGTTGAATGTAGTAAATAAAACAAAATATTAGTGTGCACTGTTTGTAAAATATAGCAATTAATGAGAAAATATACGGCAATATACCATACTTTAGTGGACAGTAACGAAAATATTAATTAAAATCGTTAAAAGTATATATTTAGTTCTAGAATCTAGAACTTTTTGTATCCGAAATTGAACATCAATGTTTTGATAGCATCATCAATATCAAAGAAACTTTGCCCATTTCAAAAGAATATAAAAAAGGTATATTCAATATCAGTTAATAAAATAAATTATTCAAAGAAAAAAAATTAAAGAGTTTTTCTTAAATTTGATTTTTTTACAGATATTTCAAATAAAAAAATATTTTGAAATATTTTTTAGTTTTTACTTTAAAAAAAATTTTTAACCTATCTTTTTTATAAATTACACATATTTTACAGTAAAGGTTTAATAAGAAAATAAAATAAATACGCTTCTGTTACGACTTTGACAATGCTTGAAATTAGAAAAAATTTGGCTTTATTTTCGATTGCGACTTTGGCTTTGCTTTAGTAATTTTAATTCGTTGGCTATACTGTTATTTACAAAATTTATGAAGTTTCTTTATTTTGTACACGAAATTCGTCATAACGTCGATAGGTGCCGTATTACCGGTACTCGATTGGAATCGATTTTCCACATCCCTATGATCATAAACCACCGGCAAATAAAGCCGAGCTATCCATTTTTAACTTGGAACACATATGTACGTACATTTGTTACGCATAACCAAATGAAAAAATAACTAGCAAACATATTTTTGTTAACTTAAAAAATATGACTATAATACAACTAAGCGATACAAAATGCAGCCCAGACAAATTTTTCCATTATTCCGAAGCTTTGAAGGCGTCCGAAATTCCCCTTGTGATTGATAATGGTTCGTTAGTTTTAATTGAAAGTACTAAAGGTGTATATGTATATTCTAAACAATTTGAAAATTGCAGGATCATATCGATGTCGTGTTGGTTGGAACAATTCAAATGAGCCGTTAATGTGTTTTAGAAATTTAATTGCGAAACCAAGGAAGGACCGTGGAAAAAAAGACTCAATAGAACCTTTTATAGAACCTCCCATACAAATAGGAAACGATATAGTTAATATTGAGGCAATGAGATTTCAATTAAAATCACAATTTGATAAAAATGTCGTTACCCATTACTATAACCAAGAACAAATATTTGATTACATATTCACTCATTTGAGTATAGATACAGATAGTGCTGTGTTACATCCAATAGTTATGACGGAGTGCATTGGAAATCCTAATCATTGTCGCAATTGTGAGGTTTCAATAACTTATTATTTTCTTTTAACATTTTTTTTAATTTTTAAGTGATGTCGGAACTTTTATTTGAATGCTATGATGTGCCTTCGGTTTGCTATGGTATTGACGCTCTTTACAGTTTTGCACACAATAACATTGGATCACATGGCTTAGTAATTTCTTGCGGCTATCATACTACGCATGTTATTCCAGTTTTAAATAAGAGGATGATAGGATCCAAAGCAAGGCGTCTCAATTTAGGGGGTTTTCACATGATATCATTTTTGCATAAAATTCTTCAATTAAAATACCCGGTTCACGTTAACGCCATTAGTATTAGTAGAATAGAAGATTTGCTACATAAATATTGTTCGGTAGTGAGTGATTACACAGAAAGTTTAAAAAACTGGTCGAACTTGGATTATTATGAAGAGAATGTTAAAAAAATCCAGTTGCCGTTTATTCAACAAACAATCTCAACAGCCTTAACAATGGAACAAAAGTTAGAAAAAAAAAAAGAAATGTCTAGAAGGTTAGTAGAAATAGCTGCTAGAAAGAGGGAAGAAAGGTTAGCAGAAGACGAGGATCACTACCAGAAAATGTTAAATATAAAAGCGCTTTACGATGATGGGCATGAAAGAGAGTTTGAAATAGAGTTAAATAACAACGACATCGCCAATTTAGAAGAATTAATCGTACGTAAAATTAAAAATTTGAAAACATGCCCTTCTTTTTTATTTTTGTAGAAAATGATCAATAATGTCAAAGCAAAAATTGAACGAACTCGTCACCGTATGATGTTGCCAATAGAAGCTCCAAGTGGAGAAAAACCTGTACCGACTCTTCCACCAGATGTCAATGTTGAAGAATGGATTAGCAATATAAAAAATAAGGTAAAACAAAAAAATAAAAAAGGTCTAATTTTTAATACCCATATATCTTAACAATATATTTGTGATATATAGCGATCACAAATACTGGAACATAAACAAGCTAGAAAGCAAAGACGTCAAGATTTAGCTAAAAGGAGAACAGCAGCTGCTCAAGAGCGCATGCGAATTATATCACAATTAGCTCGAAAAGAAAAGGGTTCTGATGATTTCGGCATGAGAGATGAGGATTGGGACGTTTACAAAACAATTAGTCGCGAAAACGGAGATAGTGATAGTGAAGTTGAAAATGAAAAACTGATTGAGTATGAAGATATATTAAGACATTGGGATCCAACATTTGAGGAACCAATAATTGTTACAGCTGGAACTGCTGAATTTCACCAGGTAAAGACGTTTAGTGTTACTATTTTGTGAAATTTACTTTTATTTATATATTTATTGACCATCATATAAATTTGTTTTTCTGTTACGGTAGAACAAATCATCTTCGTTAACAGATATATGTTTCGGTGGTATAAAAGCTCCGGCAACCATTCTACTTTCTGCATTCAAAAAATTAAATGTAGTACAAGCCTTAAAAAATATTGAAGTATTAATATATTAATTAAAAATTGGATTTGTTACCTGTTCTGTACGTAATATCTCAATATTAATTTTATGATTTTTTATAAAATTTAATATTCTTTGCGAAATCTCTGGTGTAACTTTTTCGTTTCCAATTCCAATAACTAAAATATCTAATTTTGGTTCTAAAATGCCGAATAAACTTAAACTATCTTCATTAATATCTCTATATTCATTAACATTCCATGACAAAACTGATCTGAAATATTTCTTAAATTGTATAAACTTGCTCTTACAAATTTCAATCTTAATACTTAGAAAAGATCGCCATTGGCCCAACAATAGACATATTATTATTTAACCTAAAACCATATTGATTGTAAGAATTTATCATAAGACCAATATCTAGTTCTTTATTTAATATTTGAACTTTCGTCTTTCCATCACCTTCGTAAGCTTTACTGTAGTTTCCAACTCCAAATTTAGAAAATCTAGATTTTTAAATTAAGATTTTTTACACCTCATATTATATAGAAAAAAAAATGCAGGTTTACTTACAAACGAGACCTACTTTGCGTAATCTTATTTGTATTGCAACAAATAGCTTTGAAACTTGAATATGCAAAAGCCATTTTCAATATAGTCTTAATTTATTCAGCAAAACAAACGTAATAATAGGGATGGAAAATATCAAATGTTCAGAAGTTCGATATAACGAATAGAGTTGCCACCGAACACAAACCTGTCCCATCAAAATATCGATTTCTTTAAAAATCTACTAAATTCACTAATCAAAAAAAAACTGCAAAAATGTGCTTTAAATTTTTTTATTGTTTCTTCACCTTAAGTCAAATTCGCTTGTTTTTCTCATTCAAATAAATAAATTTTATTATATAAAAAGAACTTTTCCAAAAATAACTTCAAATCGCTCCAAAAATACACCTTCACCTCTTTAAAGTACAGAATTATGTTTTCGTTTAATAACTATGTTACTGCATGTAACATAGTTATTAAACGTTAGATTACTACTGCATGTAACATAGTTTTCAACGTTAGATTACTATAATCATTGTTGATCAAATTTTAGTATAAAACTTTAAAATTACTTAAGTCTGCAAACTTTTTCAGACAACTTATAAGTTTATCATAACATTATAAAATTGAATTAAAAAAAGTTCCTCACGAAGTGTTTTTTTGCTACACTACAAGGGAAAAAATTATACAAAAATTCTAATACGAAGGCTTAAGAAGGCTTTTCTCAGGGGCGACGAATTGGCGCGTGTTTTTTATAGTAATTTTTCCGAACAGGCTTAAGATGGGTTGTTCGTTTATTCACTGTTTTGAGTTAAAAAAAATTTAACTACATACTTTGGTTTTGTTGTATATATTTACGAATTGATTCAAATGTTAGATAGAAAATATTAGTACTTCGGTTTATTTCGGCTTGTTACGAGACTAAAGTATAAATAAGTAACTATAGGAAACGCACCTGAAGTCCACTAATATACATATATAGGTTTTTGCTCAACATATTTTTTTTTTTTTCAACTTTTTTTTTTATGTAAGAATACCGTTAGCAACACTTGACTAGTGCTTCTCCTAATAAAAAAAACATAATGTCCATCTCTAGATCTGTTAATTTATAACATTTAGCAACACTTGCCAAGTGGTTTTCCTTATTAAAAAGCATAATGCCATATCTATATCTGTCAATTTATAACATTTGGCAATACTGGAACAAGTGGTACACCTTTAAGTTTAATTCATTGGTATTTTGTATGAAAATTTGAGTTTCTTTTGTTTTCTATATGCACAGATTTTTTTCTCTAAAAAAGTTGAATCAACTTCAGCTTTTGTGCAGGGTTTTTTGAAAATATCGTTTGACGTAAAATTTTATTTAAAGTTTCGAAATGGAATGAAATAATTGGTCTGTCTCGGATAAAACTTGAAAAAACTTTTAAAAGAGAAACGAGGACGAAATTTCTCGCCAAAAGAAAAAAGATTCTCATTTCAATAAACCAGACAGAAAACTTGAAAAAATTTAAAAACTTTATAAATATGCGATAAACGTCAAATTTCAAAGCAAACATAAAATTGTTCAAACATATGTTTCGAATGCTGTAAGATTTTAAAAGTTTTTAAAACACTAAATTTGACTTTACAAAACTTGAAAAAAATTTAAACATTGAGAAAATGAGAATGTCGTCATTTTCTCTCATTTTTGTTTAACTCGTTCGCTACCAGGGTCTTCTGGGAAAAACGTCCACAATAGCCCAACATTTTTTTGGTGGTTATATTAAATGAATTGAAATAGATTTTACGTATGTATATTTAGAACAGTCTAAAAAAGTAAAATAAGTATTCTTTTAAACTGACCCAAATATGTGACGCTGGGCTAACTTAACAATTTAGTTCAATACTCAACATGTTCAAACATGCTTTTGTAAATTATACAAAAATATCTGTCACATATATGTGTCGCCGGGCTGTGGTAAAGAAACGCGGTGACACATATATGTGACGATTGGTAGCGAACGAGTTAAAAAGTATTATCCCAGACACTTTGCATGCAAAAACTTTATAAAGTTTTTAAAAATTTTCTTATCAGACGTAATATAAAAAAAGAAAACGATATGTTTAGCATTTTCGGACGAAACAATGAACGTTCATGAGAGATATGAGAGCGTTTTAATTGTTAATGCGATTGGTAAGGTAATTCACCTTAATAATAAAACATGTTGTCATTTCTTAAGTTGTCTATTCATATTGTTTACTATATGTACATAAACTAATTTTTTTTTTCATGATCTCAGTGCAATCTGACTTAATGTAGGAAAAAATTACGTTAAATGAAAGATAAGTATACAGAATGAAAATCTTTATTAGGATAAAAATCTAAATTAAAAAAAAATAAATCAACTAAAAAAGGAATATTAAATCTGTATTTAGATTGTTTTCCAATAATTAGGAGCATTAAATGAACATGGAATTATACCGGAATCCCGAATTTAATTTAATGTAATTTCGAAAATTCTGGAACTTATTTTTATATAAAAATTAGGTTCCAAACCAATAATAAAATTGAAGTTTAAAAAAAGACCAAAGCTAGGTTTTATTTAAATATTTGAAAAATGGAAAAATTGTTAAAAATACATAAGACCGTCGCAAATCCGTCGAACCAATAAATGTAATTTTCCACTTCATTAATTTTGTAGTATTGCAAAAAAAATTGAATACTATACAAACTTTCTTGTATACTATAGAAAATATTACACAAAGTTTTTTGTCAGTAACGTGTCTATGTATGTAAACGCTAGGTAAGCTAAAGAGAGCGATATTACAAAAAGGTAATATCGATAAAGTTAAATTCAATTATCGATTGTATCAGCAAATCTACCACCTTAAGCATAATAATTTGATGCGTTTAGATCATCATATCAAAAATATTGGAAAACTTAATACCTACTCATTTTGATTTGAAAAGTAAAGTTGAATTATTTCTAGTTATTAATCAAACCTACTTTGTTTTAAATATTGATTGCAATCAGACATTTGTCTGTTCTCTAAATAAATGGCAGCTTTAAAATCTCCAAGATCGCCAAAGTTGGGACAAGTGAAAATAGGTGAAAAAGAAGAAACTTTTTGGGAAAAAATTGGAACTTTAGGTAGAAAAAAGAAAATAAAAGAAGTTCAAGAAATCCAAGAAGAAGGAAAAATAGCTATTGATTCCCCAGGAAACCCTAATCAACCTGATATTCCGCCAGAGGATTATAGTTTACGAGAGCATGAACAGCGTGCTGTTATAGATCCCCAATCTTATACTGAACCTCAGTTTTTAAAACTGCAACACATTTTGATTGAGTGGATAAATGATGAATTAGCCGACCAAAGAATAATTGTCCAGAAAATTGAGGATGATCTCTACGATGGTCAAGTATTACACAAATTATGGGAGAAGCTATCTGGCAAAAAATTAGATGTTTTAGAAGTAACCCAATCTGAAGAAAGTCAAAGGCAAAAACTACAAGTAATTCTTTCAGCCGTGAATCACACACTTGGATTTCACCATAAAATACCTAAGTGGACTGTCGACAGTGTTCATTCAAAAAATGTAGTAGCGATTCTCCATTTACTAGTAGCACTAGTGCGTCATTTTAGAGCTCCAATTCGGTTGCCCGAAAATATTTTTGTTACTGTAATAATTGCAGAAAAAAATGATGGTATATTGAATGCTCAAAAATTTCAAGAACAAATAACATCTGAGTACGATGATTTGGGCATGAGATGTGAAAAAGATGCATTTGATACTTTATTCGATTGCGCTCCTGAAAAGCTTACAGTTGTTAAAAAATCTCTCGTTACTTTTGTTAATAAACATTTGGCAAAATTGAATTTTGAAGTAAATGACTTAAATCAAGATTTTAGAGATGGGGTTTATCTTTGTTTATTAATGGGCTTACTTGGAGGATTTTTTGTGCCGCTCTATGAGTTTCACTTAACACCGAAAGATGAGGATCAAATGATTCACAATGTTGCTTTCTCATTTGAATTAATGCAAGATGTTGGGTTGCCTAAACCAAAAGCTAGACCAGAAGATATAGTGAACATGGACCTAAAATCCACATTAAGAGTTCTTTACAGTCTTTTCACAAAGTTTCGAAACGTTACTTGAAACGAGCAATGTGAAATTTTAATATACATATTTATTGTACTGTATTTCTTTGAATTGGACACATTTTTATCGTAATACCTTATTTTTAGCGCATTTTATTTGGTACTAATGTAGTCAACGTAACCTTTTTTAATAGATTGTTTATTTGCTAATTGTTTATACTAAACTAATAAATACTCCGAAAGTTAAGAACTGGATTTTTATTCTACAAAATCGGACTTAAAATAAAAAGTGTTACTCAAACTAAAAAAATAAAATGAAAAAAAAACTTATAAAACAGACATGTCAAATTCATTTATCATCGCGGTACATTTCAAATTTTCCGCACATTGCTTTGCACAAATTTCGATTTGTATTATCCAACATCCAAATAATACTGTCATACAAAAAAATTTAAAATCAATTTTTTAACAAATTTAGCAACGTTTTTCTGTTTTATCTTTATTATATTTTAATATCGAAAACAATTGTTCACAGAAATATGCATGGATGTTTTTTCAAACCAGTTAAAACTTGCTAAGTGTTTTATAAGTAAATTATTATAAAATTTAGTAATTTCCACTTCTCTAAATTTTTGTTTTAATACAGAATGCAAATTTGCATCAGGTTTTTTATTTTTATAAAACACCTGATTTTGAATATAAAATGTTGGTATTAGCGTTCAAAAATCAAATCTGTCGAATGAAAATTCTGTGTGACAAGCTTGGCCAATAAAACCAAAAATCAAAATAATACATTAGTGCTTTTTTTTATTAGATGCACATTTATAGTGATATAATTTAAAAATTTAAACTATCTGTAAAGTAAGTTCAAAAAATTCTACAAATTATTTTAAAAAATCTTGCTTTTTTAATATTAATTTAAGCAGCATTTTGGATCTCGCGTATGAAAGCATTCGCCGAATTAATAATTTAAAATGTCGTTCGATTCGAAGAATATTCGGAGATTTCTAATTTACTTCACTAATCTACTGTTTACAAATATAAGAGAATTAAACTAGTTCAAATATCTTATTCTTAAAGTGCGTCTCCGTTTTGAAGGTTAGTTAGCATCATTTTGATTGCACTTCCCTTAGTAGTTTGTTTGGTGTACTACTATTGCCCAGCCATGAAGTTCTTCTACGGCTTTTAATTTTTCAAATGGCCCAAATAGCTTAATTTTCAACTTCTCACTATGTACAGTAGTTGAGGCATTGTATTCAGTCTTTGTAAGCTGGATGCATTTTTAACCCTGTCAGACCATTTTACCTTTAATATGCAACTGTAACATCACATTTTAAAGGCCTCTATCCTTTTTTCTTCTTTCTTCGTTAGAGTTCAAGTTTCTACATTGTTAGAGTCATTGAACAGTTCGGTAACATACTGATCCATAAAAACAATTTGTCAGTAGAATTGGTGAGTATATTGCCATGACGTTCTTCCAGGGTACCATGATGCTTTTTTCTTGCTGTATTAGTTGCTTTACATTGTCTTTCCCATACCTTGTACTTTGCTTGCCTTATTTTTCTTCTCACTACTCTGTTAATATACCGGTACTTCTCACAGTTTTTATACCTTCTTCTTTATCAAATAGTCTAAGAATCTCATTTGTCATACATTCGGTCTTTTTCTCGGTGTTACTATACTCTTTTAGCACCGTCGATGCTGTAATTGGAGGTTTTTTGAAAATCTCCCATTTTCTGTTTGAATTCTCTTCGCCTTTTTGAAAGATCTACGAAATAATATTTGAATCTTAGCTTTTGACAAGCTCTGTATCAGCTAATTTCGTGAAATTTATTTTTTACATAATATACATACATACATAATATTTTCTACAATAGTTTACAAAAAATAATGTCCAAATACAAAAAAATGCTAAATTACAAAAATTGCAAAAAAGAAAAACAAAAATAAATGTAAACTAATATTTAACCTCAAACTTATAAGATGATACATAACTGCTGATACAGTAAAATTAAAAATTTTAAATACAAAAACGCAACAAAAGGGTCATAAATCATAAATAATTATGGCATAAAAACGTAATTTATAAGAGAATATTTGTGTGCAATTTTTAAAAAAAAATTTGGTAACAAAAATCTAAAGATTATTTTATTTTAAATGAAGGCGACAACTGTAATTGCCAGTTAGAATGTCAAATGTGAAACAAGAATAGAGCGTAAAACGGCGAGACCCAGAATAATAATGTTAAGGGATTGAAACCCAAATTTGTAAGAAGGGATGTTGTGAAAGTCATGTGAATCTTAAAGATTTCTTAAAGCAAAGAGGAGAAATTATTTTTGGACTGATTCACTTCTATTACTATGGGTCACAAAAGCAGGATTAATAATAATGCCGAACGTCAAAATAGAGAAAAAAATCACTTTGTAAAACAGATATTTCTAAATTCTTTAGCTCTATGCTTTATTAAACCCTACATTTTGTTTGCTTTAAAAATTATATAATCATAATGAGAATCAAAATCTGGTCATCATAATGAGCATCAAAATCACTTATCTGGTCAACGCTAATAAAAACGTACCTATAACTTTTTTTAACATTAAGATCTAATTTATTAGGACTGCACCAGAACTACTTTGTCTTACCAAAAACTACTAATTTCGTTTGAAGGTATTTAGTATCAGATATAATATTTATAAATTAACACAAATTCTTCTTACTGTGAAAAAATAAGCGAAATCAAGCTTGAAAACGAGACCCTAAAAACTCAAATGAAACAAGCGAGAAGTCTGATCTTACTCGATATAATTCAGAAATGAAGACCATGTAAAAAGAGTAGAACAAAATCATGCTTAGTGTACCTAGTATTAGTGTATGTTATATATACAAGTATACCCAGGGGATTAGTATATGTTATATATAAAAGTATACCTAAGTATGTAGGGGATTACATTGGTCATGTGAAAAACATGATATCATCAATAATCTTCTTCAACAAGGTTTTGAAGTCAAAGATGCAACTAATATCATGACAGAAAATTACAGGGGAGGTCAGAAAATTACAGTGGAGAAATTATCGTTCACAACAAAAAATTATCCTTGTTCATGCTAACGTTCGATAAAAATCAGGACACTCGAGAAATATATAACATCAAATCGATCCTGAACCTAAAAGTCAAAATTGAGCCAGTAAGGCAAAAGACAAAAGCTATATCACAGTGTACAAGAGGTCAAGAATTCAATCACACCAAATCCTACTGCAGAAAAATTCCCAGATGTGTAAAATGTGGTGCAAATTATCTTACTTCTGCGTGCAACAAAAGCAGAAATACTATAGCAAAATTTTCTGTCAACTATAGATTATTTGAACTCCAGCGCGAAAGAAACTTGACCCTAAATTTAAGACAAAAATCTTTAACCCCTACAGGAGTAATACCCAGGGCTAAACCAAAGGATACGAATGCGCCTCTGACATCTCAAATAATTGAAAAAAAAAAAAACAGTTGCCAAAGTCAACTCGAAGAAAAAGGCATATATCCAAGTAACCGCAAAACCTACAACAGACGAAATTTTGAAATTGACATTAAGTAGAGTTACCACACGTCCTACTTTCGGTAGGACAGTCCTACAATCACGTAATTTGTCCTACGTCCTACATGAAAGCAAAATTGTCCTACTTTTAAACTTTAAACCATTTTTTTACCCGATAAATGGAGTATTATTTTAAAAAATACAACATCGAATAACGATAATATATTTAAAATTTTGTCACATATTTTAAGCATTCCAGCTTCATCGTCGTTTATTGAACGTGTTTTTTCGATTATGAATAATAAGTGGACAGATGAAAGAAACAGGTGTTCTTCTGAACTTATTAGAGCAGAACTTCTAATTAGTGTCAATTCAAAAATTACTTGCCTGCAATTTTATGAAAAAATACAATATGACACTGAGTTATTGAAATGTGCAAAAAGTGATAAAAAATATAAGTTCAGACACAATCAATAAAAATATTTGATTTACAAATAATACTGACTTTTTTTTTTGTTATATGTCCTACTTTGAGCCTGTCATTATGTGGTTTTTTTTGTTATATGTCCTACTTTGAGTCTGTCATTATGTGGCAACCCTAACATTAAGAAAACTTGATGATCAAAAACTCGTTGAAAGATAACTAAATGCTGGACTAGAAAGTAAAACAAACGCAAGACTAAACAAAAATGACGCAAATCCTAAGAATTATGACATGGAATGCTGATGGTCTTCTGCAACATATCCAAGAACTTGAGCTCTTTCTCAACACAAAAGAAATCGACGCTTGTTTGGTTACCGAAATCTAAAGAAACTCACGTAGAAATAAAAAGTTATAAGTGTTATAACGTTCACCCAGATAATAAAGCTGAAGTTACGCGTCAATTCCTGTCAAAAGTTATATCAAACATCAAAAACATGTTAGTGTTGAAAAACAAACGATGCAAGTAGTTTCGGCCAGAATTAATATTAAAAGTAAAAAATTCATAATCTCCTCCATCTTCTGTCCCCCAAGATACAATTTAAAAATAGAAGGTTAAAGATCAATGCTGAATAACATGGGTGAAAAGTTTAATGCCAAAACTTTCTGGAGGTCTAGACTCATCACTACTCACCTAAAAGTAGCGCCTTATATGAAGCAGCAGCTGGAATGGGTTGTGCTTTCCAATTTACGGGAAAACCTACCCACAGGCCGACCGACAGAAATAGAATTCCAGATCTTTTGGACTTTTTCATAAGTAGAGCAGTCTCCGAAAATTGCGTACGCGTCAATGAAAGTTTTGGTTTAAACTCTGACCACTCTCCAGGAATTGCTACAACCTCTGAAACCGTGATGCTTAAAGCAAATATACCAAATTAACAAACAGAAAAACCAACTGGGATTTATTTAAAGGTATACACGAAAATGGCACACTTCTTAAAGTACCTCTTAGAAATGAACACGAACTGGAAATGTACAAAATGGTGCTTGAGATGGGATAATACCACGTAAGTCAAAATAAAAGAAAGGGGTGTATTATATCGTTTAGAAGTAAGAAATCTTGTAGGTGAAAAAAGAAAAGCAAATAAAATGTGGTAAATCACAAAGTTTCCACAGGACAAAACTCGTGTTAATCAACTCGGAAATAAAGTAAGAAGATTGCTAAGAGAAATAAAAAACGCATCTATAGCCAACTATTTAAGAAATGTATCAGCTGATAAAGAACATGATTACTCTTCGTGAAAGGC